AAGGGTGGCTTTTTTTTTCCAAGACTTTTCGCAAAGGGGACAAATCAGATTTTCGTTTTTCAATTCGGTAAAAATTTGCTCAGTTTTTTCGCCAAAAGCAACTAAAAAAAAAAACGGGAGGATTTTGGTCGGCAAAACGAATTCATTTTTCTAATTCCTGTAAATCTTCTTTGCTCCGCGGATAGTTAATGAAAATAATTTTACTTTCTTGGGTTTCTAAAATTTTTTTGAGTTTTTCGTTGTTGGCGATGGCCAAATTATTTAATTTTCCCATTAAGGAGACTAAATCACTATTTTTCTGCTTTTGCCAAGCAATTAATTTTTCTTTGCGACCAGCAATAAGATTGTTAAGAGGGTAGTAATGAACTTTTGCTTCTTCTTTTCAGTCAATGTAGTTAAGCAACGGCGGAATTAATAATAAGATAATTCTACTTTTTTTACTGATTGTTGATGATTGATTTTCAGTCATATATTCTATTAATTTTTAACATTTTTGTTTTAATTTCTTTGGCTATATTTGTATTTGGTTCTGATTTGCCGGTAGAGGTCAATACCAATACCAACGCTACCAAATCAATCTAAAAAGCGGGGGAAAAACTGACCCGGTTGTTCAGAAGCACCAGGAATTACTTTGCCCATTTCTTCTACTTTTCCCACTTCTTTTTTTTCCAAGTTAGCAAAAATTTGGTCAAAGACAATATTGAAAAGTAAAATCAAGCAAAATCAGAAGAAAACCAACCGGTTGACTATTTTTTTCAATAATTCCCGGGTTCATTTACCGGAAGAGAGGTGATTAATGTAAACACCCTTTTTTTTTAATTCATCACTAATTTTTTTGGTTTTTAAATTTGATTTACGGATACCAAATCAAACGGCAAATCAACGGAAAAGAATCAAGGCTAGCAAAGCCAAAAGAATTACTCCTTTTCAGCCACCAATTCACTGAAATAAATCCCCAAATAATCTTTTTTTGTTATTTAAAAGAAAAAAACTCTCGCCAGCCCCTTCTTTGTTGCCTTGCCAAACTACTGATTGGCGATTTAAATTTTGGGGATTGCGAGAGTCGCTGCTTACTCACTGCCATTTTTGCACAAACTTTACTAATGGGTTGCTGCTAGGTTCGGGATGATTTGCTCCTCCTCACCCGCCCATTAATTTGATAAAAATAAAAGCCCAACCTAAAACTTGGGCCAGTTGATAAAGATGCATAAAACTAAAACTCATCCGAAAACCTAACTTAGAGCGGTGTTTTTTTTACTAACGGATTATCGGCAAAATAAGTGTTATTGCTTTCAACAGGCACTGCTCACGTTAGATTG